CGATGTGAGGATGACTCTGGAGGGCAGCTCGGTGAGATTGCCAGTTCCGAAATCATAAATTTCTGCCGAATTCAAGTTCTTGTTTCAGAAGTCAACTAGATTTCAGTAACTCTGCAATTATTGTGAGTGTGCTTGCTGTCAAAATACACTCCTTGACGTACTGAAAGCGTCGCTCGTAAATTATCAAGCTTTTCTGCCATCGGCTGCTTATTTTATACCACTCGTAGTTAGTCGTCTTTCGCCCAGGCGTCTTCTAGAGATTTTAGCTGAAGTAGCCCAAGTAGACGTGACTGCCGGATTCCAGGCCTGCTATTCGTAGTGTGGCCGTCGTGTTATCCTTATTTTCCTGTCAGTTCATTTCACCATGTGGCCTGCATGCTTTAATCTGGTGTAGCATCTCGTTCAGTGCGCATATACTCACTGGGATGAGGAATGGCTTGTGCATAAAGCGCAGATGTGTGTTCTCAATGCTCAGGCCATCTCCGAGTAAGATATGGGAAATTTGAATGATGAGTGATAAGCAGTCGTACTAGCACCAAGTCAGTTGGGTAGGTTTGTTTTAGACATATTTCGTGGCAGTTCCAACTTGTACATGAGCTCTTGGTTAAGCATTCAGCTCAACACTATCGATTGCTCTTTTAGTAACTGGCGAAAAGCGGATGGTGTTAGTCTCTAAGTTTGGCGCGGAAGCTTAATTAGAATGAAAATGTGACCAGCTATATCGTATTTCCTTGGAAATTTAGTATGCTCCCTTAGCTACTCTTCATCGAGCGATTTACATTTTTAGTTGCTGAATGATTCACATTTGTTTTTTGCCATCATTTTCCGGTTTTTTGTTCCACTGAATAATTTGTTTTCGCCGGCTGAACAGATCCGTTCGAAGTGCTACTTCATGAGCTTCATCTGTAAAATTTCCCTCTCCGTTGGAGGTGCGGGGGGTTGCAAATGCTCCATTTGCGCCTTCCCTCCTTCCTCTTCTTTTTCTTCCCCTCCCAGAAACTAGTCGTAGACAGAAAAGAGGCCTGGGGCAAATTTTACGCCCCTGTTGCTAAAGTCTGTGCATCTGGCATCTGCAGGGCAAGCACATATGCAATTTTGATATAGCTTTTTTCTTCCTTGTCGCTGGGTGAGCCAAATTAGGACAGTGGGCAAAGCCTTTTTTGGCTGTACGT